GAAACTTGCTTACTGTAAAAAATCAAGCAAAATATATATGCTTTGGCAGAAACTTTTTAGTAGGCAAAAAATAACCCAGCTTTCCAGAGAAATAAATTTAAAAAAAGCTTTGCAATCTTTAAGACAAAAGTCACCTTGTTAAAAGTACAGTTGTAAAAATAAAGTAATTAGCAAAGTCAGGGGACAGATCTAAACCAGAAACCTTCCAGTAGGTTGTATAAGCAAAATGTCTTACTTAGATCACAATAAGTAGGCTGGAGAGGAGAGGAAATAAGCAAGTGACTTGAGTTCAAGACAATGATATGACAATCACTGACTGAATTCTTTTGATTCGCTCCCTCTTTCATTTAAGGGTCATTTCATTTCTCCGAGGTTACATGCAAAATCATGAAATCATCAAATATTGGCGAATTGTGAATAATACTTTGTAGCTGATGATACATATCTTTTACTTCTTAAACTTGCTTCTTTAATATGCATTTTAAATTCCTCATTACAATTAATTTTTGAATGGTGTGGGCGCTGCACAGAGGAGAATTGGTTAGCACTATTGCAGCAAGAAGGTCCCAGGTTGGAGTCCTGGTTCTTTCTGCTTGGAGTTTGTGTGTTCTCCTTGTCCATATGGGTTCTCTCCAGGTACTCTTGCTTCCTTCCACGGTTCAAAAACTTGACTGTTAGGTTACTCGTTACTCTAAATTTCCCTTAGGTATGAGTCTGTGTGTGCATGGTTGTTTGTCCTGTTTGTCTCTGTGTTGCCCTGTGATGGACCTGCAACTTGTCCAGGGTGTATGACTGCTGGAGATGGGCACCAGCCCCCCCACGACTCTGCATGGATAAGCAGGTGTAAAAAATGGTTGGATGGATGTTATGAGAATGCACTTTCAGTCTAATCATTTTATAGAAGCCAGCCTCTTCTTCTCCTGCACAGTTCCTTTTTAAATTTTGTGATGTTACAACAAAAAGTGAACATCTAGGATTTTATATTCAGCCACCCCCTCTATTCGGAAACCCCTCAATAAAACACAGTTCAACCAAATTACTGAATGAAGTTGATTGTGTGAAAACCTGTTCTGTGAAGACCTCAGAGGTTTGAACATTAGAGAACAAAAATCATCATGAAGACCAAGGTACACAGCAGACAGGTTGAGGATGACGTAGGGGGGACATTTAAGGTAGGGTGAGGTTGTAAAATAATATCCCTTTGAGCATTTCCTGGAGCACTGTTTAATGCATCACTTGAAAATGGAAAGAATTTACAAATGTATTCCTATCAACATATGTCTCTCCACCTAAACTGACAGACAAGTCAAGGAAGCAGAAAAGAGTCCTAGGGAGCTGTAGAAATCCACAACTCAGGTGGGAAAATCGTTTGACAGAACAACAAGTAGTCTCGCATTTCACAAATCTTGCCTTTATGGAAGTCTGACAGGAAGAAAGTCACCAATGAAATAAGTAGTCCTGTTTGCAGTTTGCCAAAAGCCATGTAAGACACACACCCAACATGCAGAAGGTGCTCTTGTCAATTGAGACCAAAATGTAACTGTTTGACATACATTATAAAGGCTATGTTTGGTGGAAAACCCACACTGAACATCATTATCAGCTTGACCTATTTTGCAAAGAATAATGGGCAAGTTCTGTCTCTAGATAAGTAAAGCTGATTGAAATAAATTTTAGGCTTGTAGGAAAAGGTGGTTTTACAAAGTACTGACTCAGGAGACCTGGATAGATGTGCATGCCAAACTTTTAAGGTTTTTTTTGTAAAATGTTTTGAAAGACAATTGTCTTGATCCATCACGTAAAAACATAAAAAAACATTGAAGTTTGTAGTTGCTATGCAGCAAAATGTGGAAAAGTGCAAAGGGTATGAATACTTCTGCAAGGCGCTGTTTTAATGACCTGAGTTTTAAAGCTGTCTCAACTGCAGCTGGCTTGTGCATTAAATGATAAGGTCAGTCTGTGGTGCTCTTAAAACAAATAATTCTTAAGCTAGGATAGACGTGCACTGTAGGTTTGTATTTTTCAGCCGATTTCTCTACAGACTTCAACTTCTTGCTGAAGTAACCATGAGAAAACACAGCTGCTTCTCAAAAATATGATGTCATCACAGGACATCTCCTCCAGTGTTGATCTTTAATAAAGACTAAACCTTCATCAGTCCCTTACAGAGACACTCTTGGAGTTATGAGTACAAGTACAGAAAAGGTGATAAACAGTCCATACTGCCTCACCGTGTGAGTTCAATGACTTTTTTTTCTCTTCCTTGAGCAGTGGCAAAATAACTGGTGAAGGCAATTTTGGTCCTTATCACTGTGCAGTGAGTGGGTGTTATTATAAAGACAAATGTAAATGACTGACTCATGCAATTTGACACAGCAGTCAGGAGTGACCCCCAACCGTCATTAGGCGCCCCTCCCAGAGGTCACATCAATGCAGACACGACTCAGGCTCTCACTCACTGAGTCAGAGCCAGATCCAGATCCACAGAGACCTCGTCTTATTTTCTCTGCTCGGGCCCTCGAAGGGCCGCTTTTCTTTATCGGCCCTCTCGTATCTATTGAAATAACAAACCACAGTCCTCCACATATAAGTCTCTCCCACAATTGACAGCGATAGTCATGTTCACTCCATTAAAAGGCAAACCACAATGGGGCCCGATGCCAGCTTGCCAAGATGGATCAACTGAGCGGGATGAGGAAAGACAGAAGTGCGTTCTTCAAAGACTAACTCCAGATAGCTCCTAATCAACCCCTTTTAGACAAACAAGGTCAAGCAGCAGCGTTGGACATTTTTTCTCAACAACAGTCTCAAAATGGCTCACTCTTAAGGCCAATCCAGAGAGGGTAACTTGATTTTTTTGATAGCGGAGGTCTGTTGGCGATGTAGAAGGATTTGGGGTGTTGAATTGGGAGGTGATGATGAAAATGGTCTTTTATAAAAGCTGTCTGGACACACAGGAGCCAGGACTCCTGAAGTTAGCTGTAAAAAGAAAGCCTTTGAAAGCTGAGTGCTTTGATGTTTCAGGTTCTAATCGTGGCCTCAAGTAGGCATTTCTGAGTTAAGAGTACAGTTTAACTTTGTCTGAGAAAAACAGAGAAGGCTACCTGTTCCTGGAGCCTTATCTCATGAAAAGTGGAGATTTCTGTGGAATGAAGGGCTGATGCTGTGCACGCATAGGCAGACTGGTGCGTATGCACATGTGTAATAGATCTTTTAGAAGTGTTCCTGTGATCATAATGGCTCTGCGGCACACCAGAAGACTTAGCCACACAATGACACCTTATTAGACCCTGGGAACCAACAAACTTCTAACATGTTTTCACAGCTTGGCAGCTCAGGGTGATGAGGGGTCTGTGGAAGACCTGGCATCCCAGCAGTGCATTACCACACAACCCCACCACCCCCAGCCCCAACTACACACACACACACACACACACACACACACACACACACACACACACACACACACACACACACACACACACACACACACACACACACACACACACACACACACACACACACACACACACACACACAGACTGACACAACTACACACACACACACACACACACACACACACACACACACACACACACACACACACACACACACACACACACACACACACACACACACACACACACACACACACACACACAGACTGACACAACTACACACACGCACACACACACACATACACAGACTGACACAGCTACACACAAACCAAACAAGAGACCCTCCTCCACAGGCTTGAGGAAGAGTTTCTCTGACCAAACTTTACACAAAAACAAAAACACATCCCAACAATTGAAGGATTGAGAAAAAATCACAGTCTTCACTCATTGCATTAATGCATGTAGCCTTATAAGTTGTTTTGGTAATTCTATTTAATGAACATGGCATGGTAATTTTTCTCTCCTTTTAAAGCTATAATGTTTGTTTTCGGTACCAGTGAGCAATGTCTTTTGCTGTCTTTAAAAGATGCGATGCTACGCAGCAAGCCACACACATCCGCCCAGTCTGCAGAGGAGAGACCAACGCAATGACCCATAGAATGAAAATATCAGTTAACAGAGAATCACTCACTTAATCATAGTTTAAGATGTGACAGTTGCTACTACAATGAAAAATACAGTGTGTTTGCTCAGTTACCTTTTAAATACGCAGTAGCCCTGCAAAAACCCTAACCTATATATCTATAAGGAAAACTCACAATCCTAACTAAGAACAGTGAAATTATTAGTCACTGATTGCAATCAAAGAACTTAAATGCAAGGGGGCATTATTACACTTAATGTAAACATCCCCCAGATATTAAAATGTTTCTATTTATGTAATTGCTTTCCTATTTGTAGACATACACATCTAGATAGTTGCATGCACAAACAAGTAAAAATGAACAAAAAGCATTCATATTTCAGACCTGGAAGGGTTTAGTGCTGAAGCATAATCACAAACAAATATCAGGCAGGACATGGTTGGTCTCTGCACAGTCTTAGATCAGACAGATCACCTGTTATAAAGATAAAATGACGAGAAAAATTTAAAATGATGGGAAAAAATAGGACAATAAAATCAACAATAAAGTCGAAATGATGAGGAAAAAGTATATGAACAACATCCATCCATACATTTTCTATACCTGCTTCTTACGTACAGGGTCATGGGGAAGCTGGTGTATATCTACAGCAGTCTACAGGCAAGAGGCAGGGTACACAAACCACAGTCCTCCTCATATAAATCTCTCCCACAATTGACAGCGATAGTCATGTTCACTCCATTAAAAGGCCAACCACAACGGGGTCCGATGCCAGCTCGCCAAGATGGATCAAGATGATCGCCAGTCCATCACCGAGACATACAGGACAAACAACAAGGGCAAATTTAGAGAGACAAATTAAGCTAACAGTCATGTTGTTTGACTGTGGGAGGAAGCCGGAGTACCCAGAGAGAACCCATGTATGTACGGGGAGAACATGCAAACTCCATGCAGAAAGAGCCCCGGCCGGGAGTCGAACCCAGGACCGTCTGCAAGAGTGCTACCAACTGCACCACCATGCAGCTCTTTATAAACAATAAAGCTTTTATATTAATGAACAGTATAATAACAAAAAAATATTTTTCTATTAGCATGTAACCATCCTAAGAACGTACACTTGATATTTGCAGTGCATATTAAACCTGTTTGAGAAGCTGTTTGAGCAGTCTGCCTTTTCTTCAAAATATTATTTCCACTTTATTCTCAATATTATGACTTTTTTTCTCAACATTTCAACTTGATCTTTTAAATGAAATGTTTGATGTATCCTCATCCATGCTCTAGATGTTGCATGGATGAGCTTCATAGCAGGATTAATTATGATATGTGGCTCATGCGTGTTGGCTTGGATTGATCAGCTGAAAAAGCAGGACTAGACATGTTAGATCTCACAAAGCAGTTGAAATTAACAATCCATATTCTCCACAGCCAAAAAAGCTCTATAACCAATTTTTAAATATGATTTATAAAAACATGATTGTGCAACTCAGAAAGACAAGTGATCAGCTCACAGTGATCAGTAAAAATCAAAGAGGCTTTAAATTTTTTGTGCATGATTCCTGTGCTCAGAGGTCAGTGGAGCGCAGTGCTCTGAACAGAAAACACCATACCTACCTCTTCTCCCTAGATGAGGAAATTACTGATGACGTTCCATCCTCCACTGCAAGGCTGAATTTATTGTAAGGCTGTAGAAACCTCCCGCATATATAAGTACATTCTCCAGAGGAAACTATTGCAGACAAAACTGGAGGTATCAATAGGGCAGGGTCATCATCACAGCAGCTGAAAAAACCTGTCTGCAAAGTAACAATACTGAAGTAAACTGAAGGGACAACTTGAAAAAAGTTAAAAAACATTTGATAAAATAAGATACAAAATGTAACAATGTGTTCAGATGTTACTAAAAGGTTTTTGACGTGGTTGTTTAGACCTGATTTCTTCAGGACTCAAGCTGTTTCTCAGTGTGATGTTTTACACTTCAGACTCCTGAATCTCTACCTGAGGGTGTGATAATGAAAAACTTGAGCTGGGAATGAGTGTGATCACAGATGATGAGAATGCTTCTGTAGTGCATTCTCCATGCACAAAGGTCCTATAGTATCTCTCTCTAGATGTTTGTGGTCTTTGGTGGTGCTGCATCAATACCACATAGTGATGCAGTTCCTCAGGATGCTCTGGTTGACACAGCTCTTAAAATTAATGGAGAAGTTTTCTTTCTTTTCAAACATTTTTAGTCTCCATAGAAATATCAGCTGCTGCTGAGCTTTGTGGACTAGCTGGGTATTGTTGTGTTACCTGATTAGATTCTCACAAGAAACAGAAAGGAAACTGTTGGTCTTTTCCACTTCATTCCTGCTGATGGTTAGGGGACTGTGTTGCATCCTGCATAAAACTTTGTGGTAATTGTGGAAATTTCTGCCTGTATCATTTCAAAGATTGTAATGAAACATTAAGGGATGGCCATCAGAGATCCCCTCACATTACCCAAATTAAACAAAAATGATGTAAACCAGTTGGACTAGGTCTGTGCTGGTTTGTGTTGTTAAAATGTTTATTTGTGCCACTGTCCTTTTAAAGATATTAAAACACAAAATAAAAAAATAAATAAACTTATGTTTTTGTTTTTTGCTTGTAACCACCAGGGGAGACTGTTTGACCTTTGGACGACCTTTATACTTTATTTAAAATTACAACATTTAGATTCTGGATTTTTCCTGCTGCCACACACCATAATTAAATGAATGTGTGATTAGCAGGCTACTGCAGCACTTGATGGCATGCTGAGGAGGTAATGTATTCATTTGAATCAGGCGTGCTGGAGCAGAGACAGATCGACTTCATGTTAGTGATGGGCCTGATAACCGTAGTCCAGTGTGGTTCTTTGCTCCAAGCACACGTGCTGGGATGACTCCCACAACAGTTCCTGTTAAGAGGACTTTGTGAGGAGAGAGGAGGTCAAGCAGAGTGCTGCAGCTACACAAGAGGTGAATAGCATACAAGGGAATGATGGGCAGAGGTGTAGGATGTGGAGGCGGAGTACCTGGGGAGCGATGAGGGCAGAGGAGACAGAAAAGAGGCAGGTCTCCAATCCACTGCCAAAAACAACAGAGCAGGAGTGAAAAGCATCACAAGGATGGATGGATGGATGGACAGACAGATGGACACATGGAAGGATGGACGGACGGACGGATCGATGGATAGTTTGACTTTTTACAGGAAGTCATGACATGTCACATTTAGTCATTTAGCTGTGACATGTCCCAAACTACCTCTCCTCTGAACTGTGTTTCCATCTCCCCCACATTTCGGTTCAGCTTTACTCCTCCCTGAGTGTCTGTTCGAGGCAGCGTGCTCCTCCTCCTCTTCCTACAATTAGAGCAATCAGTCATGACACAATGGACCTACCTCTCCAACTCTGTTGTTTTTGGAATGGAAAACCTGCAGCCCTGCTTGTTCTCCCCCTAGGTCAACAGAAATAAACCAAAGAGACACTCTTCTCTGACAGATTTAGCACTGCACCAGATCTCAGCCCATTGCATAGTTGTAGTTTTTCTCAATCAAATTGGACGATGTGTGATCCTTGCCATCCAGCTCCACTTTTATAGGGTTTTACCACCCAAATTGCTTTTTTACCAGTTTTGCTCTTAGTGGAGGGTGAACTATTCAAACAGGGCGCCACTCAAGGTGTATGTCTTTCACAGAGTTGTTGCTGTAAAGTGTAGACACCTGCAGCCTATGCATGTTTTCACCATCTGCTGGAAACTTTTAAAGGAATGCCACCGTAATACAAGGCTAAGCAGCAGTGGTTTTGGTAAAAACCATTGATACCGGGCCAAGCTTGAAGTGCAGTACTTTATGCTATTTGCAACTTAAGATCCCTATCTTTGAAAGCTTCTAAAACTCATAAAAATGTCCAGATATTTTATTTCCACACACTTATTTGATCAATATCATCCCTTTTAGGATGTGGCTTGTCAGGAGTCCTTGGAATGTTTTAAATTTGAGGGAGGCTTTAGGATCTATTAACCTGTCAGTTGCCCTTAAAGTGGACTGGGCTGCAGTAAACTCAGTGTTGTACAAATAAGCCTTGATAGATTAATAAATGTTAGCAATTTCGCCAAATTTGGTTCCCCTGTGATCTTCTCAGATTTAAATATTGTTTGAGTCAGCAAAAACACTTTGGCAGAACAAAACTTTGTTTTTCCTTCTTTCCCCACCCCATTAATTATCTCATAAAGACTTTGGCTTTTGTTTTTTTTCACACTGCTCAGGTTTCTATTTGAATTGGTCCAGCCTTTTTCATTTGGGACCTATTGCACTAAATTACTAGACTATAAATACAGTACTGTAGTTTAGGCAATTTACACCCCAATCAGCAATGGTAAAATATGCTGCTACATACACAAATCATTAATAAAACGCTTATTAGGCAATAGTCAGGTTTATTTTCTGATGATTTAGTTGTTTTTGTCTCTGTTTCAAAAAGAAAAGAGTTTCATTGTGTTTAAAAGACATTGCAAAGCCTATTTAGCCTTCCATCCTAACCAGTACCTTCCAAAGCTGGGGTAAGGACAATCAATAATTGTGGGGTCTTGAGATCCATTCAGAAATTAAACTAAAAAACAAAAATGGTAAAGCATATTTATTCTACAAAGTTTACAAAAACTCCTTACTAATACAGTGCCATTAAAATTTTTTTGACCTCTTCCATATTTCTCCTGCTTTTGCTTTGTTGTCAATGATCAAACACATTTTTGTATCTGACAAAGACAATAGAGTAAATACAAAATATAGTTTTCAAATGATTATTTAATTTTGTAAGAGAAAACCTATATTGTTAAATCACACATTTAGTTCATTTTCAATACCCAAACCCAGACCTGATTGCCGTCAGATCTTAAGAATCAAGAAATCACTTGAATAGAACCTGTCTGACAGTGGGAAGTAGGCTAAAAGATCACAAAAAGCAACACATCTGGCCCCCGATGTCAAAATCTAAGGCTTTGGGAGAGAGAACAAAATGTAAAGCAGTGAAGGCTTCATGCCTCAGTTAAGGCCAATGTTCACAATTTAAAATTAGGAAGAGACTGAGAAAAAAAGTTCATCCTTTGGAAAGTTCCAAGGAAAAGACCACTGTTGACCCAAAAGAACATAAAAGCCCACATTTAGCAAAAAAAATCTTGATGATCCTCAAGACTTTAGACAAACTCTTCTGTTGACTGATAAGACAAAGTGGAACTTTTTGGAAAATGTGTGTCCTGTTATATATGGTGTAAAACTTATACAGCAGTTTGGAAAAAGAAAATCATACCAACAGCCAACCATGGTGGTGGTAGTGTGATCTTGGGGGCAAATTTGCTTCTTTGGGACTTGCACAACTTGATAAAGCCAATAATGATGAGCAGAAAATCCTGAAGGAGAATGTACAACCATTGGTTCATGATCTTAAGGTCAAGCACACTTGGGTAATGTTGCAAGACAATGATCCAAAGCACACCTCCAAGTCCTCCTCTAAACAGCTCATAAAACCCTAAATGGGTTTGGATTGGTGCAGTCAAAATCTGGACTTATATCTGATTAAGATCTCCTAGCATGACCATAAACAGGCTGTTCATGCACAAAATATGCTCTATTGTGTCCAAATCTGCTGCTGCTGCCAAAGCTGGGAAAATCAGATATTAGGTTTAGGGGTCAATTGCAACTTCACATAGGGACAGGTTTGTTTTGGTAGCTTTTTTTCTGTAAACATTTTATCGTCATTTATAAACTGCATTCTAGCAATGACCCAATTATGCCACCTCATCTCATGCTACACTCTGCAAACTCTCTGTGTGCACTGTTGAAGATATACTCACATCGTCATGCTGACACTTGAACTGGCTCCAAATGGGTAGTTCAGCTTATTGTCTGAAAAATTAAGATAATTATTATTTCAACCTGGAAAGACTCACATAAAAGGAGAAACAACAAGAAGACGGTTAAAGAATTTATTAATGAAAGATTATTTCTTTGGCGCTCGGACCC